ACGGTGACCAAATCGGAGTTTCCTCCAAAGTTGTGAATGTGCTCCTTAACCCACCTCAGGGCCTGTATCTGGTCTAGCAGGCCAAAGTTCCCTGACACATGCTCATCTCCAGTGCTAGATAAAACACAGCGAAGTTTCTCTGTCATGTCGCACCAAACAGTTAAAAGCATGCTACTGAATCCTGTTGGAATGAGTAATTCAGCTACCTAAGAAAGCCCAGGAGTCCCAGTCGGTACTGAATTACAACCACAACCACATCTTGGTAGGCAGCCAGGGCAGAGCCATCATACACTGAAGCAGACCCACAAACAAATCCACCACCATGGATCCAGACCATGACCTAGAACATAAGGAGAGACCACTCAAGATTTTTTAAAAAAATCAACTGTCGTATAAAACAAAACTATCGGTGAAACTTTAGAGGAAATTGGGTTTGAAATGAGAGCATTGCTGAAGTACGATGAACACAATCGCACACAAACGTGGAACAGAGGCCTCTTACTGGAAGCTTGGCATCGGGACGTCTGTTAGCAGGAGTGTAAATGTTGAGGTAGAGACAGTCTTCCGAAATGTCCGGTATCTCTGCCAACATGCCATCAAGTTTCCTGAGTAGTTCCTGGATGATCTCGACATTCTGGATGCACCTGGAAATGAGGCCTCGCAGTCAGTAACAACAAACCGGAGCCCCCTGAACGCGGTGCAAGACAAACTGAGCACGCTCTGCCTCACATGGGTGGCTGTTTGGTGGCGTCTCTCACTCCTTCCCATCCCTCTGCGGGCTGAGGCCCAGCGAGCCTCAGAGAGGGGCCGATGGGGGGCTTGGCAAAGGGTACACCCAGGTAGGCATGGACACCGCTGTCCCTCCCCTTTACGCTCACATACTCGCCACTCAGGCTCCCGAGCTTAGTGTGGACCACTGGTGCTGTTGTGGTACAAGAATCAAAATGTAACATTTTAAAATTGTCCTTTTTCATCTTATGTCCCAAATCTCTCAAATATTTAATAAAACAAAAACGGAATTCTCCTCTGAGAGTTAAACATTCATTTGTTGGTAACATTTGGTACAAATGCCGAGAACTGGTCTAACCATGAAAATACACTTTATAATGTTTACAGTTGTTATCACAAGCACACATGAGGGCTCAAAGTTGAAGTCATAGCTCAGTTTGTCAAATCAAAAATCAAATCAGCAATGTAAGTCATCTAAAAGGGGATTTATGTTTGATTTAAATGGTAAAAAGATGTCAGCTTTGACTGGTATATGGTGTCTTAAACGTGGTCAAACGCTCAACATGTTGACTGGAACACCTGGTTCCAATCATTTGACAAGACAGGATAGGATATTTAAATCAGAACAAAATTGTTCTGGCAAAGATTACTTGTGTTGACCTGATGTCCCGTTGAACCTGTCTAAGTGATATCATTGTAACGGGTAATGTCAATTACCCGTGACATTGATAAAGAAATGCTTAATCAAAGTTCAACACACGTTCAGTTTTATCTAAAACAGATATCAAAATGCAAATCGCTACTTTGATTATAGCAGGGTCGGATGTGCCTCTTTTTTTCTGATACTCATTGCGGACCTAAATGGAGCACCATGTTTACATAATAACTT